TAGGACAAAGAGATCCGAGAATCTCTCTATGGTTTGCGTTCAGCAGACTCAACAGTTTTGCAACCGTTTTATGATTCTCCTTACTGATTGGATTATACTTTTAGATCTAAAGGAATAGAGTCCTATCTCAGCTAAGAATCATAAAACAGTTGTAAAACTGTTGAGTCTGCTGAACGCGAAGAGAGATTCTCGGATCTCTCTATCCTATAGCCAATCAACGTGCTTGAAAAGTTTGTCGACCGACACATGAAATATCGGGCACAGACCACTATTTCATTTGTGCATTTTTGCCGTACGACGAATTTTTCAAGTCTGTTGATTGGCTATAGAATGGAGAGATCCGAGGACTTCTCTGTCCTGCATGTATTTGCCTTACGACAAAAACGCACAAATGAAATAAGTTTATCATATGTTTTCTAGATCGTCGGTCATGCAATGTTGAACGCTTAAAGAGACACACTGATAATTAAATGTAATCTAGTATGTGCTTCATAAGTATTTGAATCATGTGTGAAAGGCCGTGGGTATTATTATTTTTGCTAATTATTTTTGCTAAAACCGTGGATCTTACGATATGTGTAACAATGGCTGCGTTCAGCAGACTTAGCAGTTTTGCAACCGTTTTATGATTCATCGCGTTGATTGGATCATACTTTTAGATTTAAAGGAATAGTCCCATCTCAGCGAAGAATCACAAAACGGTTGCAAAACTGTTGAGTCTGCTGAACGCAACCATCAGAATGGCGGTTTTCAGACCGATGGTATTAAAATTGTTGCCGAAACGGTAGTTTTCAGGTCTATATACAGCACGGAATGGCAGTTTTCGGATCAGTAGTATAAAATTGTTACTGAAACGGTAGATTTTAGGTCTATAATAGAAAGGGATTGACGTCTGAGCTTGTTTAGTTTTCGAAACATAGAACAATAATTGTTATGTTTTCGAATAATCAATTTGATAAGGCTCAACTTAAAAGACACAGAATTTTTGTAATACTTTAGAAGAAAGCCTTGATCATAAGGACACTTCTTGTTCACTTAAAGTATAAATTTTGTTTAGCAGTTTGAAATATGTTTCCTAGATCGTCGATCATGCCATGTTGAACGCCTAAAGAGACATGCTGATAATTAAATGTAATCATGACATCTAGTATTGGATAAGCTGTAAGTATACGATAAGTTGTGGAATAAAATCGGGCATTTAAGTAAAAAAGAAGTGTTCGTGTGATCAATCTCTTGATTTAAAGAATTAGAGAAATTGTTTGCCTCTTAAGATGAACAAAACTATCAAATTGATTATTCAAAAACAACAATTATTGTCATATATTTCCTGAAATAAACAATCTCAAAACTGTCAACCTGTTGTGAAATATAGACCTGAAATCTGCCGTTACAGTAAAAATATATTATTGATCTGAAAACCGCCATTCCGTGCTGCATATAGACCTGAAAACTACCGTTTCAACAAAAATTTTAATACCATCAGTCTGAAAACTGCCATTACATTGTTATACATATCGTAAGATCCACGGTTTTAGCAAAAATAGTAATACACACGGGTTTTCAGACATGATTCAAATACTTTATGAAGCACATACCAGATGTCAAGATTACATTTAATTATCAGCATGTCTTTTTAAGCGTTCAACATTGCATGATCGACGATCTAGGAAACATATGACAAACTGCCTCCCCCCCCCCCCCCC